CTCTCTCTGCCTCTCTCTCTCTCTCGCGCTCTCTCTCCGTCCTCCGTCCTTCTGGCTCGCTCTCTCACACTCTCTCCGTTTCTTTCTCTGGGTCCTCTGTCTGTTGCTTGTCTCTATGTCTGTGCGTGAAACTGCGGTCTGGGCGTGGGGTTGTCGAAATCGAAGCCCTGGCGTCTTAGTGAGGAAGCCTCCAATCCCCCAAGCCAGCACATCAGATGTTCTGACTGCAGCTACTCAAAGCTGCGAGTGGCCTCACTGTCACTCATGTCATTTCATGAAGTTATGATTATGAACAGAAAATGCTTGTCACCTCAAATCTTACCTCGATGGCACCCTGCAGTCTGCTAGGCTAATTCGGTTTTGGAAACGGGATTATTAAAGAATATTGGGTAGGGATTAGGCTAGGAATCCAGGAACCCGAATCCGAACCCCTAATAAACCTGAATCCCTAAACCCTAAACCCTAAACCATTAATTGTCAAACCACGATCTCTACTGGTAGTCCTGCCTCGTTCTCCATCCCGGCAATGTCTGGCGGCTGGTGAAGCCCAGCTGAGCACAGCACTTTGGCAGCCAGGCTACTAAGCCCTCGTTCCACGAAGTTCGAGTTCATCTTCAGCACATGGTCATAGACAGCCAGGAGCTTCTTGCTGTTTTTTTGCTTAGTTGAGATCAGGAATGGACAATGTCTAAGTANNCATGGACCACATGCACAAGGTAGGCACATTGACTAGAGTCTATAGTCGAACCAAGGCACAAGCTCGATGCACAAATCACGGAAGGGTTGCATGAGCTCGCGAGTGAACTTCCACAGGGTGTGGATCTGCTCATCACATAAAGCCTTTTGCAGGGGTCAGATTGCGGGTTTGCTTTTGGGGGTGGCTGAACGATTGATTCAGGCCTTGATGCATAAATCGAGGACTTTGTCCCAGGATTTCTCCGGGTCTGTTTGGCCGGCGTTGTCCAGCACTGCAAACGGGTTGTGGCCAGTCTGACAGCAAGATCGAATGATTACGGCTTCGGGGATTCACAGGACCGTCCCTTCATCAGGCTTTAAACCAGCATTGTGCCTCCATTCCAGACCAGAACATCAGCAACAAAGTCCCCGAAAACTGGCATCGCTGAGAGGCAAAAGCCCAGCTACACCACCGTTTGTGCTCGTAGCTCTCTTGATGGATCCTGCAGGGGTAATAGTCGTTTAATTAATAGTCACTGGATCATCGACATATATCCATATCTATACACACAATAATTAGACTATTTGTTATATGTTCGTTGTACTTGTACTTGTTTGGGTTTAGGGTTTTAGGGTTTAGGGTTTTGTGGTTTCGGTTCATTATTATTAGCCCTCCTAATCCTAGTGCTCACTTGATGGTGAGAAGGCTTGATCTGCTAAAGCCGTCCTGCAAAGCTTCCCAAGAATCTCCGAAACCCGATCGAAATTCACTTGATCGTCGCACTCGGGGGTGATGTTGTTCCTGATCTGGGAGCAGGACAGCGGAAGAAGTGGGATTAATTAAAGTTCTAGCCAAGCTTCTCAATAAGGATGTGGTGGCCGAAGAGCTGCTGAAGAACGTCATCACGAGTCGCCTCAGCAGCACCAAGCAGTTTGGGATTCACAACCATCAACAATATTGAACAGTTAGTAAGGGGCTCAGAGCTTCCAAGTGGCCACGTCAAGATACCGCTTGCCAGCGGCACACAGGGAGCTGCCGATGTTGTGCGTTTTCCACGGGCTCCTTCGGCTTCTGTAGAGCCACGAAGTAAGCACAGTCATTCCTCAGACACACGATGTATCTAGCAGCTACCACACATATGAATCCAATGAAAGCAACCGGAACTCTACTCTCACCCGAGAATCGCTTCATCAGGGGCGACGATGCCAGAACCCGGAGGCAGTACTGGTTCAACTTGTACCTCGGCTGCTGCATGGCAATGACTATAGAGTCTATAGAGCACTTCCGGCGCTCGGCTTCGTATTCCCTTCAAGCTAAGTAGCAGCTCATCGCGGCACAAATTGATTGAAGCATTCCTGGTTGCCAGAAAGACATAGCTGCTGAACATCGGGCTTCCCTCGTCAGGGCACACGATCAATCGGATATGATGGGAATCAGCGTCTGGGACGTCCCATCTCGAATCCCCGTCTTCAACAGATGTAATGAAAGGCATAGTCTTCTCGCCCACTGTGTAGTTCATCAAGATTTCAGAAGATGGGCTCAAAGGCTTGAGGGGCTTCTTCGGAAAAATATCATCCAGTGATACTCCCAAATGATTGAGAACATTGGCAACAGCTCGGATGTGCTCTCTGGCGGTGAGCTTCTCTTGGTGCAGGCCGCTTAGGATTCTCGGCCTTTTGACAAGCTGGTATTCTGTCTTGCATAATGAACGGGCTGTGCCTGTGCATTTCAGCAACATAGAGGAAACAACAGAACCATGTTTAGCCCAGTTTCATTTTGGGTCGATGTTCATTGCTCTTGCGGTCTGCCACCAGCAGCTTTGTAGTGGAATCGGCAACTTGTTGAGCGACTCTCATTTTCTCCGATGCATCAATAGTTGTGGGCTGCAAAGCCGACAACCGCTGCAATGTTGCAACAGATGCAAACTGATTCGCAGCGACGACGGGGAGCCAAACCTCGCGGTTTAGGATTTAGGGTTTAGTTTTAGGGTTTAGGTTTAGGGTTTAGGGTTTAGGTTTAGGGTTTAGGGTTTAGCTTAGTTTAGGGTTTAGTTTTAGGGTGTTAGAGTAGCCGAAATACATCAACACATCCCTTCGGTGATGCGTCGCACAGAAAGGCCAAGCTCTTGAGCGACTGCTTTGCCATCTCCTAGGCACTGGGACACTGGATTCTGGATATCTGCACTGAATCACTGAATCTGCTGCGTGCAGCAAGGAGCCTCGGACAGCATCTCGCCAGTTTTTCGAATATGTCTGTAGACAAAATCCGAGGCAGTCCTTGCACGTGCAATTGTTTTGGTGCAGAACCCAACAGCTACAGGCCCCAGTAACTGAATTCAGACGAAGGTCCGGTTGTAGTTCGCGGGGAGGATGTCACCCAAACCCAAACACTCCAGGCTGCTGTCTTGTGTGGAGCTGACAAAACCCCCGCCTCTCGTCATGAATCGCTCGATTGCAAGCACGTTCTGGAGCTTCGGCTCACCACGAGCTCGTCGCCCATCCCTTGGTCAGTTCGTGATCCAAAACAGAACAGAACCACGTTGCGACGTGTACATCGAACAAACTGCTAGACATACCCCAGAATTGGCTGCCTAGTGGCCTCTTGGCAGGGTGGAGAACATCTCCACTCTGCGGTGTTGGCAGGGAAGCTTGAAGCACATTGCTCATGTGGTGCTCGGCCAGCTGTGCCAGGCGATGGATGAGCCGCTTGTGCAGCCGGGCATACCGAATCTCGTCCTATCAGGATAATCAGCGGCTGGTGTTTGAAGGCAGCACAGACTGCCTGATTCAGCGGGGCTGTCCTGAAAGGTCTCCTGAAAAGGTGCTCGGAAGATAAACCATGCCACCGTAGACATGCGGATTCCTGCAAGGTTTTTGCAAGCAGGGTTCAGGGTTTAGGGTTTAGGGTTTAGGGGAACTTCGTATTGCACATAGGCCTGTGTGGAGGCTTCGCTGTGCAGGCGTCAGGAGCTGGCTGCGTTCCCACCTTCGGGTTCAGGGCGTAAGGTTGAAGTTGAAGGGTGATTGATTAGAAATAATCATAGTAGTTAATACTAATATCAATAAATAATTCGCTAGAGGTGGTAGTAATTAGTAATAGCCTCGCAGCGAGGCCGGTGTAGTCCAGGAAAGTCTTCAGGCTTGCAAGGTCCACCTGGTGCTCCTTGATTTCCAGCGAGCCTAAGCTATGCTGGCAATCAAGAAATTGACAAATCTTGAAGGAATCATTAACGAGGCAGACTTCAAGCTAATCTCATCCTAGGCTCATTCATCATTGCCGGGTAAAAGATCCAAGGAATAATCGGCTGGCAGCGAAACCCCTGTGATCACTTCCAGTGCTGCCATCGCAGACTTCTGCAACTCAGGTTTGCATCCCCTGACTTGCAGCCCACAGGCCACCTTGGCATTGCAATTGGCCAAACACAGAGAGCAACAACCATCACGACTGGAGTGCGTGAAATCTTGCTCCTGTTGATATTGCTGCCAAAGCACAGAAAACAAGAGACCGGGTGTGGTGAGGGCATCGAAGCTGATTCGTATCCGGGTTTCCAGTACAGTTGCTTTGCGGCCACGATAATCTTGTTTTCTAATGAAATGCACGGAAAGCGGCACCCGCCATGCATCGGCCAATTGGGCACCCTGGAGGTCTTGCCTTGGGCACACTTGTTACATGTGTAGCATTGACGAAGTACGTGCTAGAATCTCCTGCCACCGTAATCCAAGGTACATCTTCGTAAACCAATTATGAAAAGGCGTTTGCCTTTTCATAACTTGCCATGCCTCCTCCACTCTCCAGAGAACAGTGTATCCATCGAGGTTCTGGTCCACAACCTGCACGGGAGCTTGGCAGAATCAGACCGTGAGGTATATATTAAGTATTGTTAGATGGGAGCTTGGCAGAATCAGACCGTGAGGTATATATTAAGTATAGTTAGATTAAAGCCAAATAAACCATTATCCTAGGTCAGCCTTGTGGAGCTGCAGCACACCCTTCACGGCGGCCCGGCAGTCAAGATATAGTGTCTGCAAATTGCAGTAGCTGCTTCCAGGGCTACATTCACTAACAGAGCTCGCCGGCTCGGCTGCTTCTGAAGCAGCAGCTGGCTCTTCGGATTCGGCAGGAAATAATCTCGGTCGCAGAGGCATATTCATCCCCAAGCATCTAGCCCGGAAGGAATCAATCAGCTCCTGGGTGACCAGATTGCATTTTCAACGGAGCGAAAAAACAACAGTAAAGCATTATGTGCGAGCACAGAACCTCCCAGGTTGCGGGTGTCAGGCCCAGTTCCCCCAAAGGCCGGCCATCCCGAAGACATAGATCGATGAATTGCATTTTGCGATATACATTAGCTCTGGCTTCTTGTGCAGCCTCTTGAGAATTGCTCCTCGGATTATGGGATGCACAGATATGCACAGTATCTCTGTTCCCTAGCAAGACAGCAGTTGAGGTGGCACGTTGGGTTTTGAGGCGGCACGTACAGGTTTCAGGTGGCACGTTGGTGACATCCAAGGCACTGGGCGATCTCCTGCAGCCTGGCTGTGAACCATCTCGCCTCTGGCATTCCTGGGCACGGTGCGGGGCGTGGCTCGGCAAACCCGGAGTGCCGTCTGATTGGGGGGTCATGTGCGATTCGCTTCGGGTTCAGGGGTGTCGGGGCGGCCAATTCGAGGCAGCACGTATCCTAGGGAATCGAGGGAGCACGTACGTTTTTGAGGGATGCCTCGAGGAATGTGCGTCTAAGCACTTTTGCGGGCCTCTAAGATTTATGCCTGTCGCTTCGGCGTTTTTTTTCGCGACGTAGTCGGACGTTGCGGGCCCAAATCTCTTGATGCAACACGTTGGGATTGAGCAGGCACGTTAGAGCACGAGGCGGCACGTAGACGGGATGGGTGGGACGAGGTGGCACGTCAAGCACCCAGGCAGCACGTTCAATACCCCGAAAAATCCCGGGAAACCCTCTTTGCTACTAAAGTAAGAGGAACTAGCCCTGAGCCCCAGCACCCCAGCCAAAAAAAAACATCCAGGCACCCTGTCTAGTACTCCAGTAAGAGGAACAACCCCGGCACCGAGAAAACAAACCAAACCCAGGATTCTCGGAACCTTCACCAGACCTGTCCTGCAACAGCATTCAGTGAGCCACTGCAACCAAGTCTCAGATTCGATGGAGTTGTGGTGGCTCGCTGCCACCCAGCTACTCCAAAGAATGAGGGGTCCGTTGCTCTGTTCGGGTGTAGGGTGTAGGGTTTCAGGTTATAGACGACTAAGGAGTTCTGGCTTTTCATTAATAATAATGAATAAGTTCAGGCCTATTATTACTATTTGTCATTCAGCCACTGCAGAAGCTCTGGCCTATCTAGTTTTGTACTGATAAAGAAACTCTGGCTTATTTGTCACTCAACTACTGCAGAAGCTCTGGGCGGTTTATCATCCAACTAATTAAATTAACTAGTAAGATGTAACACAGAATACCCATCCAAACACTTTTGTTGATGCTAGAACCCTGTGCACAAACACTACCCGAACAATTTATCGTGTATCTGAATTGTGTACTCATGAAACCCCTGAAGCAGCTTCGGAAGTTCAGCGGTTGGGACAGCAAGGTTGCTGAGAAGCAGGCTGCAAGCAACGATTTCAACAGCTTCAAGAAAGCAGCAAGAACAGCAGGGTTCTGCGACCGCGCTCGTTTTGCTGACCCCGTGGACCCCGAAGCTTCGGCTTGATCAGCAGCATCAGAATCATATCGAGACACAGGAAGCCTGGCCTCTTAGAAAAGCCCCACTCACAAAAGCCCCCTTCAAAATCCCTCTCGACAGAGAGGGGAACATCACGACCCAACTCAGGTGCTCTTCTCTGCGGAGGCTCTGGTCGTGCGAACTGGGGTCGCCTGGCAAAGCACCAGCGAGGGAGCTGACTAAAGTGATTCATTAACTGGTAGGTAGCCGAAACCGAACCCAGGAATCCCTTCTAAATAAGTCCAACCCAACCCTCGGCCAGGCCTGAGATTCAAGAAGCTTGCTTTGCCAAATCTTCGCAGCCTTCTTGGCCAAGGCACTGAGGCGAGAATACAGGCTC